GGACAAGGAGCAGATCTCTCCCTCTCATCTTAATTCTCATGCATACACCAGCCTTGCCACCAGCACTTATATCAGTCCAAGCAGCAGCAGCCATCCAAGCCTTTCCTCCCAACCAAGCAGCGGCACCAACTCAAGCTCAACCGTTCGGATATTGAAACTTCACAGGCTCACTTCAATCGTCCCTCGTTTGCCCTCTGCCGAAAATCTTTTCCTCACGAACCGCTCTCTACCCTCCTCTACAGCCCCCACACGGCCGTCATTTGATCTCCCCTCTCTGCCGCCCGCCTCCACTCTGCCAGCCTTTCCCTGACTGCCCTCGCTTAGCTCCATTGACCTACCAAGAATGGAGTCCTTTCACACCAAAGTGCACAGCCTTGTGGATAAATTTCACAAGGTGAGTTCCCAAGGTCATCTTAAGTGCCTCAAAGCAGCCTTCTAGATAAATTCCACAAGGTGAGTGCGCAATGGCATTAAAAGAACCTCAATCTCTTGATTAGCCAGACTATTAGCATCCAAACCACCAGTAATGGGCTGCTTCTGAAGCTGTTGACTTCAGTGTGTTTTTTGTTTTTGTCGTTCTTTGTTTTTCTCTGGCAGGGCAAGGAATAAAGCAGGGAGAGGCAGCTGTCGGCCTACAACGCTCAACCATAGCACACGTCCACTGTGTTTGAGTTTCGATCCTCCTCTGCCTCTTCTGCTCGTAGCCTTGCCTCGCCTGCCTCTTCTGCTCACGACTTTCCTTCGCCTGCATCTTCGATCGCCTCTGAAAGCCCACCAGAATTGCAACAAAAGGCCGCTCTTTGTGGCACTTCTCGATCGGTATCGTTTGCACCATCACATGTGCCAACATATGCACGATCCAATGCTGCGTCACGCGCACCATCACATGCACCATCACGTGCACCATCACGTGTACCATCACATGCATCATTTCATGGGGCATCTGGTGCAGCATCCAGAAAACCATCAATTGCAGGAACAAGCACAAGCAGCATCCCACCCCCCTACAAGCCCAGTCACCTCACACAACAACGGCCTTGACAAATGCAGGCCCAAGCCCACGGTCATCCCTCGCCCATGCATCCAGCATCCATCCTGCCAACTCAAGGCCCGATCAGAAGCGCCCTGATTGGTCAATGTCTTAGTGGCCATCCACGTGGTCTTCCAGCTGGCCGCCCACCTGAGCTGCCAGCTGGCCGCCCACCTGAGTGTCCAAAAAAGCGGCCACCTGAGCATCCACCTGAGCGGCTACCTGAGCGGCCACCTGGGCAGCGGCGACCTGTGTCAGTGATGGCACGGAGGCATCAGACGTCGTGGAAGGTGCAGGTGCAGTACTCGCCACGGGCGCAGCGGAGAGCGAAGACTGTTGCTCTCATGAAGACACACACACAGATGCTGACAAGGATAGCACAGGATCGGCGAGGGAAGGAGCCTGCGTGAAAGTGTGCAATGATGTCAAGCCTGCCAACTCAGAGGTGAGAAAGTGGGAGAGTAAGAGAGAGTGCATTTGATCCTGTAACTCCCCTTCTTCCATTTGCTTCCTAAACACGCTTCTATGCACGACTGTATTTATAGGGCATCACTGGGATGAATGTAGTACTGGTAATAACACTAGTGTTCGCTACCATTATGATCAGTAGGGACATCAATCTATGTTTCTATCCTGGAACGTGTTGTGCTTTAAGGTGGTGGTGGGTTGCTGGTACTACCATAGTAAGCGTAAAGAAAACGAGTTTAAATAAAGAGCCCAATTTCATTGTATGTTTACCAACAAGCCTTCATAGGTAGCAAGCCATTGTACCAGAGCAGAACTTTCTAAAGTTGTTTTGATTGGGTAAGACTACGACGCGCACATAGTGTACGAGTACTTTGTGTCCTGCCGCCGAAGGGGCGGCGGGTGGGACAACCAATGGGTGGCGGCGGGCGGATGTTTCGGTGCGCACCGAACACGCGCGAAAGGAACAAATGCCAAGCTGCAAACTTGCCTCGCCCTCCGTCACGTTTTGTGTCCCCACAAAACCAACGAGACGCAACTTGTGTGTTAGTGCCGAAATCTATCGGTACGGACTGGACGTGGCATTGACGATTTGCTTGTCTGCTTCTGCTCTGCTCCTCCTTCGAGAAGTTTTGCTTGAACTGAAGCCACTAGTCGTTATGCCATCGCATCGCAGAAGGATTGGGTTATCACGTGGGCATTGCGCGCCGCTGATAAGCCAAATTAGGTCACAGGGGATGTTCCTATCTTCTCGTGTGAATCACTCCGGCGATAAGTGGCTGAATATCGGTATCATAGAGAAATGACATCAATCGCAGGTATGCGATAGCGGTTGCATGCAATGGCGTGGGACAGAAGCAGCGTGCAATGCGGGTCGCATTGGCCAATGCGCACAGAGGTTGCGTCCGGATTAGGGTTACTAAGAATGCATACGATGCGCACATGGTATTCTATTTCTGCGGCACCACCGGGTGGCATGCGCCTTTCATCGCGTCGACAACGCGAAGGTTCCTCTCGGGGTTTCATTCTCGCGCTAGCGCTCATTATAACGTTAACGGAGCTTCTTAGACGACTACAGGAAGCGCCGTCACGACTGTTATGTGATTCTATCATTTGCATTCACGTCTGTCTGCCTCCCATCTTATGTCCGTGCATTGCATGCGTGGTGTGAGCGTGTGCAAGAATTTGTATTTGGCGTGGTTTAGATTTTCTGAGTATGTGTGAATGTTATTTGGCTTGAGCAGATATCTGAAGTGACTCCTCTGCTCAAGAGCTTTCCGATGAACCAAGGATCGCTTCGATTGGAGCAAGAACGAGAAAGATATTGTTGTTCGAATTTTTGATTGATATTCGGCGACTACGGAAATTTGTGGAGTGACTCAATATGGGGTATAGACTTTTGGGGGTTGGGAAATTCGTCACTACTACTGTAGATGATTCCAAGTGGTTGGGAGAAACCAAACCAGGTTGGCAAGTGTGGCCAAGTTGGTTGAGGTGGATGGCATGGGTTGGGACAGTGACAAAGGTCAAAGTTGGGGTGCCTATAGGGAAGGGATTTGGTGTGACTATGGGGTTTCCGTGGTTGAGGACTCCTTGGGGACCTTCCTTCTTGTCCTCCTCTTCCCTTCTACCTGGTTTATTGCTACTCCAACTTCCTTGTGTGGAACTTCGGTGAACCTTTTGTGATTGAGTTAAGTTTATGTGGCAGCATACCCCCCAGTGCGCCGAAATTAATATCTCGAGACATACTTCACCTTTTGATACGATTGAAACTAGGAATTGTAGCCACAGACTAGTGCTACAACATATCTGAAATTGGTGAAGTTTAAACAGTGCAAATTGGTGTTATTTCCCATGTGTGGCTCCAACGCTCTTGTCGCTTCTCCCTCCTCTCGCTCCTTCTCTTCGTCTTTCCCTCTCCTTTCACCTCCCCCTCTCCCCTCCTTTCCCTCTTTGTCTCCGCTGCTTTTTGTCTCCTCCCCCCTTCCCCCTTCCTCTCCCTCTTCTCTCCCTTCCTCTCCTTTCCCTTCTTTCCCGGCCAGCCTCTGTCATGGCAGTGGAGGAAATCAACGATGATCCCCAGCATCCTGCCAAACCACGTGCTGCATCTGACAGTACAAAATTACTCCATCACCTCGCTCGCGAGCCAACTCGCAAGTATTCCTATCCCCCTCCCTCCCACCGTCCCCTCTTCCCTTCACCCTCCGCGCTCCCCTCCCCTCTTTTTCTCCCAATACCAAGGCCCGTCTCCTTGTCTTCCCTTCCCTCCCTCATTCCTCTGCTCGTTTCTCCGCCGTTTCACTCGGCTGCCGTTGCAGAAGCTCTCATGTCCCCTCCTATCCAACCCTCCTCTCCATTCCTCTTTCATCCTCTCCCGCCCACTCCCCCTTGATGACTTTCTTTCATTCCCTTCACCCTCGTTATTGCTTCCCCCTCATTTCCACGTGGCTTCATCTCCTGCCTCCACGTGGCAGCATTCAAATTGTTCGAGAACCATCCGGTGGCTGTGATTGGCCCACACACGTCTGACCAGGCCGCCCGATTCAGCCCACTTGCAGCCGCAACTTAGGTACACAACAGACAACCAATGCCGCCATTTTTGTCGTCAGGAAAGAGAACTCAGAGTCTCAAGTTTGAGTGATCAACCTTACCTATGTAATGCGTAAATTGTATGCCCCCTCGCCCCTCCCCACCGCAAGGTGCTGTTCATATCAGCGTCAGCAACGGACGTGCAGCTCACTCAGGGCGCCACTCGCCCCTTCTTTTGAGGTGGCTAAACCCCTCCATTATTATCCCTCCACGTGTCCCTTCCACCCCCCCCCCCCACCTCTTCCCCCCCAAAAGGTGCCGTTCATATCAGCGTCAGCCACAGACGTCCAGCTCACGCAGGGCGCCAGTCGGCCCTACTTCATGCGCGCCGTGCCCAGCGATGGTGTGCAGATGGCCGCCATGGCACGTGGGGTACGGGTCCATGCCATGGGATGGGTACGGTAGAACATCGTAGGTACAGGTGCAAGTAGCAGCAGACACACATGCGTGTTCGTTATTTGCACCGTGCCCAGCGAGCGACGGTGTGCAGATGGCTGCTATGGCAGGTATGCCAGTGACAGATGGCAGGGCAGGTGCACAGCACATGGCAGATAGGTAGCAGTCATGGTTTTATTCATTCCGTGGCATGGATGGATGGGGCAGCACAGGGCGCGTGCATGCAGGGGGCATAGCAGGTGGGTACATACAAATACAACCTCCGTACCGTCACCCCTCGGCTCAGCTTTTCAGATCCGACCAGGCACTGGAATCGAATTCAAAGTTGTAGACAGGAGGCGTTCACCCCATCTACAGCGACAACCGCTGGATCTATTGAGTCAAGTATTGAGTTGATTCCCGACCAAAGGCTTCCCTCATCTCCTCCCGTCACCTCTCGTCCCACTCGTCCACCGTGCAGGTCTGATGAGGCACTAAAAGGGGCAGCGGGTGGCACTCATCTACAGCGACGTTTGATGTGATGGGGCTACTGAGTCGACTACTGAGTCGAGTCCAAACCATAGCCCCTTCCTCCGCCAACCACCCCCTCCCACCCTCTCCTTGTGTCAACCAATCAGAGCTGATCAGGCACTACAAGTGGCAGCAGGTGGCGCTGGTCTACAGCGACGACCGCTTCGGCCACAACGGGGTGACTGCGCTTGCCTTGGAGCTGCTATCCATCCATGTAAGTCGGTCAACCACACAGGCAAGCGGCTGTTAGAGAGAAAAGCAGCTACGAATTAACTCAAAAGTCCCCGTGGCGGTTGGGCTGCTGCTGCAAATGTGTGGGGCTGCAGCGCTCGCCTCACAACTTCTCTCCACCCGTGCGGTGCTCCACTTGCCCCAACCCTTCCTCCCCTCGTTTAACAAGTGGACGCGGATATGACACTCTGAGCGGCCATCTCGCTGTCAGCCACGAACGAGACCATTCGCGATCACATGTCCGCCCTGCTGCCTCTCTTTTGTGCTGTGCCCTGCAATGGCTCCACTTGCCCCGGCCCAACCCACACGGTCCTCCTGTGTGATGGCCTACCTTACCTTGCGAGTTGGATGTGACACTGCGAGTGGCCATCCCGCTGTCAGCCACGAACGATGCAATTTACCACCACATGTCCGCGCATCCACCTCTGATCTGTGCTGTGCTGCGCAAGCTTGCCCTGGCCAAACTCAAACTATATGCTGTGTGATGACTTCCTTCCCTTGCCCAACCAAACAGGCAGAGGCAGATGTGGCAGCACGAGTGGCCATCCCGCTGTCAGCCACAGACGCGGCCATTCACGAGCACATGTCCGCCTTAAAGTCGGCCGTCTATGTGCTTCACGCGTCCCCGACCATACTCTCTGCCGTCGTTGCAGCAGGTGGGTCCCACAGAGCAGATAGTAGGCCGTGCCTCTAAAACAAAGAAGAGCCCAGCTGCCGTTAGATGTGGCGCAAGAAAATGTGGATTTGAACCGCAGCAAGCGGAGTGGTCTCCTATGGATTCTTAACTAAAATCCATGAGGCATTCGTCAGTGCCATAAAATAAGAAGAACCGCAGCTGCCGCTAGATGTAGCGGCCTATGTGCTGCACTGCACGCCTCCCCGACCATATTCTCTGCCGTCGTTAAAGCAGGTGGGTTATGTAATTGTAGGCACAGCAAAAGCGAGACCAGTAGGGAGTAGAAAGGTGGAAGGAGAAGAACGGCTGTCGCTAGACGTTGTGAAAGATAGAACAAGGAATGATTGAACTAGCAGGAATGTGGGTACAAGTAGGAAACCCTAGATGTGTTGTACCCCATATGGACTACCCCACTACAGCCTACACAGACTATAGCATATAAGTTTGACAAACCCCCATAGGCAAAGTGGGGGAGAACAAGAGGTCACAAGACCAGTCAAGAAAAGCAAAGCAAGCTCAGGGTGGATCACGAAGTCACCACGCATTCTGAGCACAAGCGAATGGCCACAAGGCCAGTTCACATGCATAGTTATATAAAGGAGAACAAGAAATACAGTGATCACAACCTAGCAAGTATAAACATGCAGGTATATGTATAGAGATCACAGTACAAGCAAAGTCAAGAAGTAAGCAAGTGAGGCCAAGTGGGCACAAGGCCTAGAACAGTACAGAAACGCTGATGATCACAAGGCTGAAGTGCCTTGGTGAAGACATCAGCAGTGTTGGCCCGAGTGGCCACGTAAGCAAGACGAAGCCGACCACGATGCTGCAACTCTCAAGCAAGGAAGTAGCGCAGAGCAATGTGCTTCGTTCTGTGCTCCAGTCTGTGCTCCTGACACAAGGCAATCAGAACTGGAGGAGAACGAGGCGGCTCTCCCAGGTCGGTCAGCAGGTAGGTGAGCCAGCGTAACTCCTGTGCAGCCATGGCCCCTGCGTAGATCTCAGCCTCACGGCTGGAGCTGAGAACAGAAGACGAGCGGGTAGACCGCCACGAAACAGAGCCGGAGCCAAGGCTGAAATTGTAACCCTATGACGACCGCTGCGTAGCCAAGTCGTGAGCCCAGGAAGCGTCTGCGTGACCAGTGAGGACAACTCGAGCCCGTCCTCCAAGCACGAGCCCCATGCCCGACGTACTGCACAAGTAGCGCAACACCCTCTTAGCGGCATCCATGTGCTCCTTCTGGTGTCTCCCAGGAGCAACATAGCGTGCCAGAATGCAAAGAGGGTAGGCAAGGTCAGGTCGAGTGCAGGTCATCAGGTACATGAGGCAGCCCACAAGCTCTGGGTACAGACCACTCGGCTCTACGGACTCGTCCGAAGGTGGAGCTGAGAGCGAGTGGCGAGTAGGCAGAGGAGTGGGCTGTGGCGAGGAGTACGTGAAGCCGAAGCGCTGAAGGACCTGCTGCACCATATGTGACTGAGTCAAGGTAATGGTGCGCTGTGCTCTGTCCCGGGTGATCTGCAAGCCAAGATAGCTGCGCAGCTCACCCAGGTCTGTGCACGTGTGTCTCTTCTGCAGCTCCGACTTCACGTGGGCGACTCCCTCAGTGTCAGCAGTAGCAAAGACCAAGTCGTCGACGTACACGAGGACGTAGAACGGCGGCAGAGAGGTGTCGGTGCGTAGAAACAGCGACGGGTCAGCAGTGGAAGGAGCAAACCCAAGAGCCGCAAGTGTCGTCCTCAGTGTGTCGTGCCACTCACGGGGCGCCTGGCGGAGACCGTAGACTGGCCGCCGAAGGCTCCACTGGGTACCAGCAGGAAACGACCCAGTGAAGCCAGGTGGGCGGCGCAGCCAGATCTCCTCGTGCAGACTGCCCTGTAGGAAGGCTGTGCTGAAGTCAAGAGAGTGAAGCTCGTAGTCACGCTGAGCGGCGACGTGCGGCAGTACCCGAAGAGTGGTCATCTTCGGGGTAGGGGAGAAGTTCTGGAAGAAGTCAACTCCCTCTCGCTGACTGAAGCCTCGTGCAACGTAACGCGCCTTGAAGACAGGCGGAGAACCCGGCGGCCGCTTCACCCTGAAAATCCACATGCCACTGACGATGTTCGCCCCAGGTGGGGGAACCTCGTCGACGTAGGTGCCTTTGGACTTCCAGGAAGCCATCTCTGCGTCCATGGCTGTCTGCCACTGAGAGGAGTAGGGACCCTCTATCACCTCTGCGTAAGAGCGCGGGGTCGGGATGTCTGGTACATCCGGGTCTCCCTCAGGTGCAAGCAGCGTGGACACGAGATGAGGTAAAGCAGCGGCAAAACACTCAAACTCCTCCTGTCTGTCCTCAAGAACATCAGTGTGCTCTTGGCACGGAGGACACTCACCCCCGACGGACGGAGGACAGACAGACTCAGACTCAGCAACAAGACTAGCGGCGTAGTCTAGACGACAGGCGGCAGCAAAGTCAACAAGCTCAGCAACTAGGGCACACGCAGCAGTGGACTCAAACGAAGGGTCAGTGACAACAGTAGCGAGAAGACGCGTGACAGTAGGACTGGCAGCACGAGCAAGGTCTGACGGCGGGTCAGGGACTTCAGGAAGAGAGGACGCAGGAGGAGACGGCAGAGGGACACGCTGTGGAGCAGTGGAAGGACGAAGTGCCATCTGGTGCGTGCCTGGGACAGGAGGAGGACGCGGACGCGGAACACGACGACCAGTGCGAACAGCGCGAACAGGCGACGCAGGTCGAGACTCAGGCTCACGACGCTCCGTAAGACCTCTAGTCGGCCCAGAGTAAGGAGAAGGACCAGGCAGTGGAGAGGCTGGCTGTAACTGCGACTGCGACTGGTCAGGCGGTGGACTCAGTAAGGGAGGAGCAGGACCAGTAGAAGGCGGGAGGCCAAGAACCTGCTGAAGGAGTGGAACGAAGTACGGCCGCGGCCGCGCAGCGCCTCCAGAACTAGCAGAGACTTCAGCAGCACCAGCTCCAGCGCCTCCAGCTCCAACTCCTGCAGCACCACCAGCTCCAGTACCTCCAGCACGAGCACCTCCGGGACCAGTGGCTCCAGCAACTCCAGCAGCTCCAGCTCTAGTAGTACCAGCAGCCCCAGCTCCAGCAGCTCCTCGCTGGAGTCTCCAGCGGCGAGCAAACCACTCGTGCAGCTGCGGTGGAGAGAGAGGCTCCCGCCGAGACGAGGCACCCAAAGGAACACCAGCAGACTCAGCACCCCCAGTCTCAGCAACCGCAGGCTCAGTACCCTCAGGCTCAGCACCCCCAGGCTCAGCACCCCCAGGCTCCGCACCCTCAGACTCAGCAACCCCAGGCTCAGCACCCCCAGACTCCACACGCTCAGGCTCAGCACCCCCAGGCTCCAGACGCTCAGGCTCAGCACCCCAAGGCTCCACACACTCAGGCTCTGCACCCCCAGGCTCCACACGCTCAGGCTCAGCAACCCCATTCTGCTGCGGTGAGGCCGGAAGCGTGAACGTCAGGCGAATGCCCTCCCCACGACAAAAGTCCCGCAGAAAGTCAGAGGCAAACTCACCACCTCTGTCAGAGTGCAGACACAGGACGGGAAGGTCCGTCTCGAATTGCTCGCGGAGCTGGAGACGGACAGCGCGGATCCAGGGGATCAAAACATCAGGGACCTCACCCTTGGTGCGCAAGGGGAAGACCGTGGTGTAACGCGTGTAGTCGTCCACGACCAGCAAAAAGTACCGCTCGCGGTCCTATCCACGGACGCGGGCTGGGCCCCACACGTCCATGTGGAGGGTCTGCAGGGGAGCACTCGTCGGGGGAAACGAGGAGGAATGAAGAGCGGCGCGCTGCCGCCCCTCGACACAGGGAAGGCAGGGAGGGGCAGGTGAGGGTGGGAGAGGAGGCAGAGTCTCTGGAAGTCCAGAGACAAGAAAACGTCGGTGCATGCCACGAAGGCGCTGCACCGAGGGGTGACCAAGAGGGTGGTGCCAAAGGACGGTCTGGTGCGACAGAGCACGACACGAGCAGGGGGCCGCTAGCTGACCTGACGCAAACGCAGACGTAGACGCAGCTACCTGAGGGGACACAGTAGTCAGTGTGTACAGACTCGAGCCAGGCGCTCGGGTGAACGTGGCCAGGTGCCGACCAGTCCGGGAGCACGTACAGTGGGTCACACGCTGACCTTCAGGAGTGAACTGGTCAACCCACACATCCTGGAGGTCAGCTCCACTCACCAAGTTCGTAGAGAACGAGGGGAGGTGAAGACCTGACAGTGAGCCAGACGGAACCGCCGGACACGGCAGAACCGTGGAGGAGTGCGCAAGGACCGGGCCCCCAGAGGGGTCCGCCAGGGAGACTGCAACCGGCCGACTGAGCGGAGTGAGTGTGGTGCTGTCGCGAAAGAAGGAGCGGGAAGCACCTGAGTCGAGTGTGAAGGTGTGCAAGGCCTCAGCATGCGCAGTACCAGAGAGAGCAGACTCACCAGCACCTGGAGCAGCAGACTCACTAGCACCTGGAGCAGCAGACTCACTAGCACCTAGAGTAGCAGCCTCACCAGCACCTGAGGCAGCAGACTCTATACCTGGGTCCGGCGGCGTACACAGGTAACAGTCACCCTCAGCACTAAAAGTCAATGCATACATGGCAGATAGAATAGCATCAAAGTCAAGAGCAAAGATATCCACACCCTGCCTAAGCAGCTCTGCCCAGTGGGGGAGCTCCGGCGTGTCACGAAACTGTGCGCGCCAGGCGTCAGTCAGGCGACCGAAACAGCGCTGCGTCGTGTGTGGCAGCCCGCACGGCTCCCCACGGCGCTCGCCGGTGCGGAGAACGTAAGTGCAGGGACCAGCACCCCAAGACCTCCCACGCCCAGCGTACCACTCACGAAGCTGCTGGGGCGACGGGGCCTCACGGGAACGCGGCTGCTGCTGTCGCTGGCTACCGCCAAAGCCTCCACGCTGCGCGGCTTCACCCCTACCAGCACCACCGCCGTTGCCACCCCAACCGCCGTTGCCGCTGCCTCCACCACCTCCACCGCCGCCACCGACGCCC